TCAGGTGCACCTATTCGTCCAATACAAAATAAAATGAATCTTTAAAATTTGTAATCCTGAATGTAGTCTAACAGAAATCAAGAATTATGAATATAGTCCATCCAGTTCTTTTTTGGGTAAGCTTGGTACTGGTAAGAATTATTCATCGCCAGAAACAATAACAAATACCTGTTAAAGATTTTGAGCACACATAGGGGTTCCCCTCCCAACAACATGTTTTATTCCATACTAAAGTGGCATCACAAGAGTTCCATGCGTAGACCACTTAGTTAAGAGATTACCTATAATTTGGGTGTTTTGAAACTTGTTCACAAAGGATTTAAGATGTGGGCACATTAATTTTTAGCTTATAAAAATCACATCCATGTCATCACACCCAAAACATAAAAGATCATCACATCCGAATAGTATGAAATCACATCTGAAACGTAAAACCAAACACACTATTAGAAAAAGTAGAATCAGTTTACGGTTCAAGTATTCTTTTTCAAGTAATCAAAACAAAATCTCATAACAAATTCCTCGACGACACAGCAGCAATTCATGACAGCATATCCACGCAGCTTCCTCCAAACCCCCAATAAACAACCAAAACAACACACCAATTTCAACATATAAACATGACTAAGTGTTCATAAATTTATGCATTCTTTTGTTTCCGGTACTCATTCTAACGCTTTTTCTTTTAAAAAAAAAAAAGGAATAACATTCTAGTATTTTAACATTAGAAACAAAAGCTGAAACTGAAAACATTTTCGTGAGCACGACCAAGAAAGCTTTAATTTTGATTCAGTAACGAAAAACAGACTCATGATAAAACTGTTCGAAATCATGTAATAGAAAATAATATCTTGTAGTAAAAGCCCATCTACAAATAACAGCCCCCAATAAAAGTGAATGACAAACTCTGCACCTCAACTCCTTCCTCCACCAATACTCAACAACATTATTTTATTACTTAACATGCAATTTCCGTCTTACCAGAAAAAAAATTACATACCCTGTCATGGAAATCACATTCAAGACAATCATCACCAAATGCAAAAAAAAAAATAAATAAATAAATAAATGCGCACGTGCTAGAAGCACAATAATAACACGTGAACAAAGGGGGGAAGGTACCAGAAGACGAGTTGCAAAGCGAAGGCTGAGGGAAAGAAGAGAGAGCGGGAAGGGAGAGAGTGTGTTGGGGAAAAGAGGGAGACGGCGGCGACGGTGAGGGCGACGGTGACGATGACGGCGGGGAGAAGTGGAGGAAGGCGAGCATAGCGGCGTCGTTTTGGGCGCTTTTGGAGTTGCGCGTGGGGGCAGAGGTTTGGAAGGACACGCCGTTAACGGTGACGGTGGAGGTGAAGCGAGGATCGTGATCGGGACCTTCTCTGGTGGTGTCGTAGGTGGGCAAGGGCCACGACCGTCGCTGGCACAGCTCTTGCACCTTCGTTTTGTACATTGCTCGCTCCGTTCGTTCCTCTTTCGCCTTCAACGTTCTTCACAAGTTTCCCCCCTGCATAGTATCACTGTAATGAATGATATACGAAACGGACCGAAACCGAACCCTGTCGTTACGGTTTGCTTACTGGATTTTATTTTCCTTATTGAACCTTCGTTTTATAGAAAATTACATAAATAAGCCTTTGTCAATATTCTTTAGGCAACTAGATATGCTGACATAGATTTCCAAGAATATGGTCGATGTTGACATTGAAAAATAGTGAAATTTTATTTTTTTATTTTATAAATAGAAAATGTAGAATTTAAATAAATTAAATAGATTTTTAAATTTCTGCTGACCAAAAATAATAGACTTTTAAATAATGAGAATAACAAAATTAAATTAAATAATAAAATAAAGATATTTCTAAGAAATAAATATTAAGTGCGTTGCGTAAATTGTTATTATTAATAATTTTTATATAAATTATTATGAAAAACTTTAATGAAACATTTAAAAAAATGAAAAAATATATTACACTGGAATTATTTATCGTTAAAATTTGAAATAATTTGTTTTTAATATTTAAAAAAGACATTAGAAAGTATAACATTGTTACAAATGGAAAATAGTAGTTTAAAATATGATCAATTACAGTTGAACTTTGTACTAGCCATTGTATTTTTGTTGATAAAACTTGAAAATTATTATAAATAAAATAAGAATGTAGTTGAGAAAATTTCCTTTAGATTTTCATAGAAATATTGTTATATATTAATAAAATAAGAAATCTTCCTTTACCATCAACACATTGCTAGTGTCATAAAAATGCAATAACAATATATAAATCGACATAATGTATGAGTAACTGTAATATATGACATTAATAGTTTTGAAACAGAAATAATACAAGAATTAAAAAGATGATTATTACACATTATACAAATTGTAGTGCATAACTATGAGTGTAGTCTTGGTTATTGTGTGGTAGTATGATTAATCTTTATAATAAGATGACCTCAAGGGCAATGTGACAACACATCTTACTATGACAATCTTTCTTCTTTTTTTTCTATTAAACTGTATTTTCAAATTGAAACAGATACATTAGTGTTAAATTTACTAGTAATAATTAAGTTGTCAAAAGGAACTATTTAGATTTGGTTTCAATGGATTCACAACTTCATGAGTCAACTTAATCCAACTTACTTATTAGCAAATTTTTTTTTATTAAAAAAAATAACAAAAGTTTTCAAATTCAAATCAAATAAAAGAAAAAGGCCAGGCCTTAAATTATATTTATGGTCAATCAAACATATGATTTCATTCACACAAAATTTTTTCAAAGAAAATGTTAATAATTTCGTAATGATTCAAATTTGTTTCCTCATAAAAATTGAGTTACTAAATATAGATTTATGAATTTTTCATATTGTCTAATTATTTCATACAAAAATCATTTCTTTGTAGCTTTCATTTCAATATTTTGTAAAATGACTAACCAAACAAAAAATATTTATTAAAAAATTAGGTAAATTAGTGAACACAAATTGAACTTAGGTGGGTCAGATTCTTAGTGAATTAGATTTAAACTACTCTATTTTAAAATATTAATAAACTACTCTATTTTAAAATTAGTTATAATATTAAAGTGGGTGAAAGAATTGAAGTTAAGGAAAGATACAGATGGGTTAATAATTATTGCATTGCTAAGTTAGATTGAAAGAAAAAAAAAGTAAAAAAAAATTAATAAAAGATTGGAAATTATATGGAGTGATTCTCCCTGCACCTCACCAAGTTCATCTTGCACCTCCTAATTTTGTTTTAATTCCAACTGTACTCCTAACTCTACTTTTGTTATGTCAATGAGCATATTTTGATTTTCTAAAAATGTTGACTCATCCACTCATAAAATTGATAGTTTTCCTTAGCCCCATCTCACTTTAAACCCTACACCCCTGCTTCTTTCTCCTCTCTGCCGCATCTCATGTGAAACCCTACCCTTGAGTCTTTCTTCTTTCTCCTCTCTATGGTTATGCCTTCCTCCCTCCTTTTTCACAATTTTTTGAATGTGTTGAGTGGTCTTCCTTCCCCCTGTTCAGTTTTTTGCTCACTGTTTTTTGTGTTGGTGCCGTAGTTAGCTCTCGTCCCTCGTTTCTTCACTCGTGTTGGTTGTTTCTTCACTCGTGTTGGTGTCGTGGTTGCAGGGTGTCTTCTTCTCGTACATCAACGTCCAAGTTAATTATTTTATATATGCAGGTGGGGAAAAATGATAGGATGTTTGTGTTTGGTTGATCTGCATGTTTTATATATGCTTTGATTTGGGCGAAGGAGTTGCAAGCCAAACCGCACATGGAACTGCGGTTAATGGCCCCCGCACTTAGAAGTGCGGATTTGGTTTCGTCGTACTTGGATATGCGTGAGACAATAACCGCAGGTGGATCTGTGATTAGTTTTTGGAGGTGCATGGCCGCTGGCGCATTTGGAAGTGCGAATCTGGGTTTTCTGCAGTTCGAACTGCGGCTAAGGCCAACCACAGTTCGATTTGCGACTATATTTTTCGATTTAGGGTTGTACGGTTTCGGTCCTGGAATGTGTTATTTGGTTATTAAGTTAGTATATTTTATTTTAAGAATTTTTTGTTTTGTTTGTAAAATTTTTAATTTTTTTTGTTAGGTTTAAATGTTAAATGAAATGTAATATATTTTCGGAATAAATTTTGAATATTTTTTTTGTTTGTTAAATTTGTTTGAAATTGTTTTTATTCAATATTTTTATTTTTTTGTTTTTGAATTTAGATTTTTTATTAAATAATTTATTCAATTAAATAATTATTATTATTTGTAAATTTTATTGTCGTACATATTATTTAAGTAATTTTTTTGTTATTTTATTTATTTCTTTAATATTTTATTTTTGTTTGATAATTTTTATTTATTTATTTATGATTTTATTATTAATTTTTAATTTTTTGATTTCTTATTATTTGTTTCAATATTTATTATTATATAATTATTTATTTTTGTTCTATATAATATGTTAATAATATAATTGGTTAATAGAAATGGTTAGAACTAGAGGTGCATCATCTTATCCTGATGAGGCTTCATCTTCTCGTGGTGAACCATCATTTTCATCTCATGATGAAAGGAGACGACCTACGACATCTGCTCGTAGAAGACGCGTAGAAGAATATCGTGTGGACGTCATTCATGAGCATGATCATGAGGAGCAAAGGAGTTTATACAGCAAGAACATGCTCAGGACGATTTTGTTGAGCAAGAGGATGTTCAACAGCAGGATGACTATAGTGAGGAAGAAGATGAAGATGAAGATGAAATTTAAGATGATGGATTTCCAGGAGGTCCACGTGACACCTCCATGCTTACACATTATACCCAGTATGTTGCATTTGCCATATGGCAAGGCCAGGTTAGTCATAAACCTAAAACAATTTAATTGTTGATTAATGGTTTATTTATTTTTGTTATATAATTTTGTGTTTTTATGTAGGATTGAGGGAAGATCAAAGTGATATCCCATGGTAAAAAAATTAAAACATTTTAGAATGTATCATGAGGCTATTGAGCCTTATATCTTTATGTCGGGGTTGGCTTCCATAGTCAACCTATCATACGAGTATGTCGATCATGGATTGATCGTTTCCCTTGCAAAGAGGTGGCACCTAGAGACGAATATTTTCCACCTCCCGATAGGTGAGATGAGCGTCACATTAGATGACGTTCACAACCTGCTCCACCTACCTATCATGGGACAATTTTGTGACGTGGAGGACTTAGAATACGATGAGGCTAGATCTCATCTTATGGACATGTTTGGCGTCGACCGCGCCAAAGCTTCAGCCAAGATGAAGTAGTCACGCGGTCCGAAAGTTAGGCTAAGCTGGCTCCGCGAGGTCTACCAGGAGTGCATTGAGCAGGAGCTTTGGGAGTGCGCTGCTCGGGCCTACTTGTTGCATTTGCTTGGATGCACAATTTTTACTAATAAGAGTGGGACATTGATTAGGGTCTCGTACCTCCTTCTGTTGCGAGACTTGAATGCCTATGTGAGATATGCCTGGGGAGCAGCTATACTAGCACATACTTATGAGCAGATAGGAGATGCTAGCTTCACTGGTGTCAGACAAATAGCTGGATATTCCACTCTTCTACAGGTACATTTTAGTTTTACAAAATTTTTGTAATATATTTTAGGAATGTATAAAACAATTTAAGTAATGTTTTTTGTAGAGTTGGATATATGAGCACCTTTCTGGCATGGGAAGGAGGCGAGTCTCGGATAGGTACACATACCTCGATCCACGGGCTTCACGATATATACCTCTGAGGCAGGGTTGGAGTCATACGGAGGGGCGGACATATATGGATGGGCTCACTTATGATGCGCTCATCTAGCATCCATACATTTCGCACAAACGTACCTATCCATTTATGGCCATATGTATGTTTTCAGGATGGATCCGACTAGGTGACATGATTCACCGACATTTGCCTGAACGTGTGTTGCGTCAGTTTGGTTTTCAGCAGATCATACCACGTTCGCCTGAGAGTCTTCTGATACCAGACATTCCTACGATTGATCTAAATTGGCTGAGGTATGTAGAGCATGCCATTAGTGGTGTTGCTAAGGCTCATGAGCCCTCTGCGTATGTTGATGGATACCTACTGTGGTTTAGACGAGTGTCCCACCCGTACATCACTCCAACTGACGACGATGATCGACCTAGTCTTGCACCGCGCATGAGGCGACACCTTCTGGATGACATCTTGTGCCCCCAGTTTGTCGTAGACGGTCTCCTGAATCTGGATTGTTGGTATGTAATGAAGCTAAGTGTGATTGTGTATTATATCAATTTTTCATACATAGTGAATTTAATTTTTTTTTATATTCATTTCAGGGTGGTATGAGGCGTGTGATCAGGATGCTGCACTAAATCGGGATGTGTCCAAAACAGGTCACTAACTACGTCTGAATCGTCCAAACATCTACTTCTCTGGATGTATTTGTCTCTATCTAACAACAACATCAACTACTGCATTTTCGTTCTTGACCCTCTCAAAGATCGTTTGAAAATGTATCTCGCGTTATATATTTGCTTTATCGTCGTCACGTTATCTTCATTGTGTTCCTTAAGAGTCAATAGAATATTTGAGGGCTTAACTTGACTCTTAGTCATGTCAACAAGAATTGACTGTTCAGCAGCATTTAACCTCCCCGCAAAAGGATGACCAACCAAAGTCTCTACTAATTCATGGTTGTGATAGTCGCACATAACTTTTAACACCCAACCGAGTCCTTTAGGTTTACCCCTTAACCTAAACAGACACTCACATTTTCTTGTGCCAGATAAACTAGGCTAAACATCTGCCTTATACTTTTTATACTTCTCACTCCTTTCACATCCTAACACAATGAATGTCTTTCTTCCAGCTTCATCAGTTGTTGTGTCAGATCTTATAATCACGACAACAAATCCAAGGTCGAATGCAATCTTTCGAACCCATTCAATTAAATCGACGCGTGATGGGAAGATTTGATTAGTGGAAAACTTATTGGTGTAATCACCCTCACCAACTTCATCTAGAAAAGAAGAAAATTTCGACATAAAAGCAGAATTTATTTGAGAATCGAGAAACGTGTAGTTATTCATCTTATATAATGAAATAAGACCTACAATAAACATTACAATATTCAAATTTAAAAATAACAATTACAAAATTAATAAAAACTTTTAAAATTTAATTAAAATTTACCTAATATAAACATCTTATAAATTAAATCAAAATTTTAAAAATTAACAAATAAAAATATTTCATAACAAAATATTAACTATTACGTAAAAAAAAACACTTAAATTATTAACTAATACATAGAAAATAAATACAATATAACATAAAATTTTATAAACTAAATACTAAATAAAAAAAATTACATTAAATAATAATTCATTAACACATTAATAGTTTTATAAGATTAAGAATGACAAAATTCTTTTAAAATTTTATGTATGTTATTCTTAAAATTTCATGTATGTATGTGTATGATAAAGTTAATATTAATTGATATTTATTTGTTGTTTTATCTATATATAATTAGAGTATATATAGCATTTTGATCCTATAGATATTTTTTTAAGTGAATTTTTTAGTCGGGTGAATTTTTTTACCCTACCTCATGTGGAATATAGCCGAACCTACACTAGACCAAATTTAAAGATATATTCTTGATAAAATGCATCACAGGGCGATGAAAAAATGACACCTTCAACACTTCATGCGTTGGAAGCATCCAATATTTTACTCAGTAAAAGGAAAATGTTTTGTTTGTGGATTTTTAAAGATTGGGAATTAAGGATTTTATGGATTGCTCAGAAAATAGATTGTATTTATAATTAAACATATAAATATTTATAAAATAAAATAAAGAACAAAAATTGTACTTATAATTTTGATCCAGGAAATAGATTTATGTTATGAAATATAACTTTCTGACTCAGGTATTCATGTCACTCGTGTAAAATACGTGTGGACCTAATCATTGAGTAATACAAGTTATTTTAGAAAAAAAAAATATATTCTGAAAGAGTTGTGAACTTGTTATTAAGTCATGGCAACAAAATTCAATTTTCATTCTTCTTATATCTATTAACAATTATTTCTTCTTCTCTTTTTTTTATCCATTTTATGCATTGTCATATTTAATTTTGTACAGCATAGCCATGCATATGGTAATGTTGGCTTTTCTTCTTTTAGTTTTGGAAAAAGTTTTTTTAACAATTTTTTTTTTAATAATTTTTTTATAACTGCTTGTGTGATAGTATGTGATTGATTTATTTTAAATATACGAACCAATAAAACAGAATCTATTATAAAAAATTATTAAAAAGAATTGTTAGCATGGTCCTTTAGTTTTATCCCAGTTTATTTATTTTTTACTTCAATTGAAATTATTTATTTTTTAGTGGTATTGAAACAATAAATCTTTAACAGGTTCTTTGTGGTTTAATGACTGGTCGGTTTTAAAAATATTGGTAAATTGTTACTCTGTTTCGTGGATATTAGGTGGCCAATAGCGCATTACACAAAGGGAAAAATTGTATTAATGTATGAAGAAAAAAAATAGAATATTGCAACTGCATATCAACGTAAACAGAGGCAATGCCACAAGAATACAGAAAAGCAGGGAAGAGTGTACTAAGCCGCTAAATATTCAACACTCAGTTATTGCAACAACCAAAAAAGCAAATGTTCTTTTCTCCGTGCATCCAGCAGAATCACGATGATTGCTGAAATTCTACTTTGGTGCCACCATTCACTTGGCAAGCTGGTTACGGATGAGTTTTGTGGCAGCAACCATGTTTGTGAGAGCTGGATTCACCTCGGCGTACTTACGTGTCTTGAGACCACAGTCAGGGTTGACCCATAAAATGTTTCGCTCAAGCACTGCAAGCATCTTGTTGATCCTATCAGCAATTTCTTCAGTTGGTGGTATTCTTGGAGAGTGAATGTCGTACACTCCAGGGCCAATTCCAGCTCCATACTTGACTCCTTCGCGGAACACTGACAAGAGCTTTTCATCAGAGCGAGAGTTCTCGATGGTGATCACATCAGCATCCATATCAATGATTGAATGGATGATATCATTGAAGTTAGAGTAGCACATGTGGGTGTGAATCTGTCAATTGTCAAGAATACACACATTGTGTGCAAGTTCATTAGTCTTTTGTGTAAACCCAGATGAAAAGTAAATTCGTTCTAACCCATTGATTGTAGTCCAGAAGTACCTGAGTTGTATCCTTCACACCAACATTGGTGATTCTGAAACCATGAACAGCCCAGTCCAAGTAGTTAGCTTGCTCTGACTTTCTCAATGGTAAGCCCTCTCTCAAAGCAGCCTCATCGATTTGGATAACAGTAATACCAGCCTTTTCAAGATCTTCTACTTCGTCCTTGATAGCTAAAGCAATCTGGTAGGTGGTCTCAGACCTGTAGATAGTTTAATTAACACTATGTTAGAAATAGTAACAGGGTTAGTTCTGATTGCGGTATTGTTGTTTTCAATGGGTCTCGAGTTTGTACCTAGGCTGATCATTTCGAACAAAGGACCAGTTGAGAATAGTGACAGGGCCAGTTAGCATTCCCTTCATCGGGCGTTTGGTCATGCTCTGAGCAGTGTATGACCAGAAGACGGTCATTGCCTTGGGGCGACTCACATCACCATAGATGATTGGTGGCTTCACACAACGAGATCCATAAGATTGCACCCACCCGTTAACGGTGAAGGCAAAGCCTGATAACTGCTCACCAAAGTACTCCACCATATCATTCCTCTGCAATTAAAGGCTAACCATTTGTCAAGATTATGTTGCTCTTCAAAATGAAAGAGGTGGATGAAGATCTATAAAGATGTTTGAGTGTAATGGATCGCTCTTATTTGCTATTCCAGACTGAATATTTAGTTATGTGAGGATGAAAGCTGACCTCAGGCTCCCCGTGTACCAGGACATCAATATCAAGCTGCTCTTGGAGTTCAACAACTTTGCGGATTTCCTCTTTAATTGCATTAACATACTCCTCCTCGGAGATCCTGAAAGCAAGAAAAACAAAATAGTCAGAAAAAGACACATGGAAAGGAAAACAAGCCAATCTATTGACTCTTTGCCTATCTTACTTGCCAGCCTTGTATTCCCGACGCACCTTCCTCAGTTCAACAGTCTGAGGGAAGGATCCGATGGTGGTAGTTGGGAGGATTGGAAGGTTGAGCTTCTTTTGTTGAGCATCCAATCTAGTGCTGACATTTGTGGCGCGGCGATGATCAGAACCCTTCAATGCAGCAGCCTGTGAAGAAAATAAAAGATGTCATGAATAACAAGAGAATAAATTTCATAACAAATCCTGCTCAACGAAGTTGATCAGAAAACCATAGAAATTAGAACTCACAGCCTTCTGAACGGCCTCATTAGTCACTCTTGGAGAGGACTTTCTTGAAGCCTGAGCAGAAGCATTAGAAGAGAAAAAGGCCTGAAATGAGAAGATAAAGAAAGTAATTCAGTGAACAATATAGTCAAACAGAGGAAAAAAAATATATGAATATGAATATATTTGCTGTCACTGCTGACTTGCTAACAAAATAGTTGGCTAATTTCGTCATACATGCTATTGTTATTATGGGACTATCGTACTTTCCCTCAAATTTCTTAATTTTATGTCAGTGATAATGCTATGCTATTGTAAAATAAAAGGAACGGAGTTTACCTCATCCTTTTGACCAGCCAACGCCTTAGCCAATGCATTTACTTCAACAATTTTTTGGGCCGCAAAAGCCAGCCATGATTTGATCTCATTATCCAACTTGGTCTCATTAACAAGATCAACAGCCGTGTGAAGAAGTGAGCAGGAGGTGGACACAACAAGTTTATCTGCATTATAGTTTAGTATATAAACGAATCAAGTGACTGCGTCAACAGAAGAAGAAATCTCCCAATTTTTTTCATGAAGTACAACAAGTACCTTTGCCCACAATCCCCTCAAGACTATTCAATGTATCCAGTGAAGTAGCAAGATTATTAGCCCAGATGTTTCTTCCATCAACCACTCCAGCAAACAAGTACTTTCCACTGGGAAATCCACCCTTGATTAGATCAAGGGTCTTAGTTCCACGGACTAAATCAAATCCAAATGCCGTGGCTACATTAAGAGATGTGAGAGTCTGGTATGCCTCGGCAGTAACGTCAGCGAAGTAGGTCTCAATGAGAACATTTAAGCCAGATAAAGCAGATTCAAGTTCTGCGTATGCCGTAGAAATTGCTTGCAACTTTTGAGACTCAAGGTCCAAGACAAGGATAGGTTCATCAAATTGAATCCATGAAGCACCAGCAGCTTTAAGATCAGACACAACTTCCCTGAGATTTTAGTCATAAGCAAGATTGAGAATTAACACAAATATAAGCATGAAGCCCAAAT